GTCGTAAAGCTTTCGTAAACAGGACTTTCGGCAATTTAGTTAGGGCTTCTATTATCATTATAGTTTAGTGTGGTTTTACCGATAGGAATAGCTCGTTGGATACATGCTGATTATTTTTGATTGGCATAGGAGGTTTTGCTTGAATAATAATATACTCATAATATCTATTAATAACCTAATATCACATTGACGAGTCACAAACTATAATGACAACAAAACAAATTATAAACACTTAGACACCAACATTTTTCCTTCTCAAACAACCATGTGATGTATGAACCCGACAAAATACTGAGATTTTTCATTTCCTGACTGAGTTGACTTTGGCGATGATTACTGTACGAATTTTAAAACGTCATTCAAAACCAGCACGAACAAAGGACTTACCTTGACCATCATAAACATGCCAGTTATCAACAATAATTCTATAGCTACTTCGTGATCTTTTTTCGTAACCACGGAGTCACATGAGACTAGTGGCAATAACTGTTAATTTTAATTAAGTAGGCCTGGTCCTTCTTTGATATTGTAACAGTCAAGACAATACATTTTAATCTATACGTTTGTTGCGGAAGCACAATTCAATGACAGTTTTGACAAAAGCCAAGCTTTGCATTTGCAGAGAGTTAGTGACTTTAAACAGAATATTGTAAAACGAAATGTCAACAAATATTTTAATTTTCAAAATAGTATTATTGTGTAGCATATTGAACAAAATTTTGTCAACTGTTCTCATTTTATTTTGTTATGCTGGTGCTGCCTAATTGTTTGCTGGCACTAATTGTTATTCTGCTTACAACTCACCTATTATCTAAAATATAGTTTTAACCATAAAATGCTATACCTTATTTTGAACCATTTTCCTTGCCATACAAGCTTCGTCATTAGTATAGTTAAAGGCTTATAACTCTATTTCATTTTCCTACAAACCTACTATTTATCTTATCAATTTAAGTGTTTTGCCTTATAACGACCTCATACTGATGCAAATGTCGTAAAGCTTTCGTAAACAGGACTTTCGGCAATTTAGTTAGGGCTTCTATTATCATTATAGTTTAGTGTGGTTTTACCGATAGGAATAGCTCGTTGGATACATGCTGATTATTTTTGATCGGCATAGGAGGTTTTGCTTGAATAATAATATACTCATAATATCTATTAATAACCTAATATCACATTGACGAGTCACGAACTATAATGACAACAAAACAAATTATAAACACTTAGACACCAACATTTTTCCTTCTCAAACAACCATGTGATGTATGAACCCGACAAAATACTGAGATTTTTCATTTCTTGACTGAGTTGACTTTGGCGATGATTACTGTACGAATTTTAAAACGTCATTCAAAACCAGCACGAACAAAGGACTTACCTTGACCATCATAAACATGCCAGTTATCAACAATAATTCTATAGCTACTTCGTGATCTTTTTTCGTAACCACGGAGTCACATGAGACTAGTGGCAATAACTGTTAATTTTAATTAAGTAGGCCTGGTCCTTCTTTGATATTGTAACAGTCAAGACAATACATTTTAATCTATACGTTTGTTGCGGAAGCACAATTCAATGACAGTTTTGACAAAGCCAAGCTTTGCATTTGCAGAGAGTTAGTGACTTTAAACAGGATCTTGTAAAACGAAATGTCAACAAATATTTTAATTTTCAAAATAGTATTATTGTGTAGCATATTGAACAAAATTTTGTCAACTGTTCTCATTTTATTTTGTTATGCTGGTGCTGCCTAATTGTTTGCTGGCACTAATTGTTATTCTGCTTACAACTCACCGATTATCTAAAATATAGTTTTAACCATAAATGCTATACCTTATTTTGAACCATTTTCCTTGCCATACAAGCTTCGTCATTAGTATAGTTAAGGCTTATAACTCTATTTCATTTTCCTACAAACCTACTATTTATCTTATCAATTTAAGTGTTTTGCCTTATAACGACCTCATACTGATGCAAATGTCGTAAAGCTTTCGTAAACAGGACTTTCGGCAATTTAGTTAGGGCTTCTATTATCATTATAGTTTAGTGTGGTTTTACCGATAGGAATAGCTCGTTGGATACATGCTGATTATTTTTGATTGGCATAGGAGGTTTTGCTTGAATAATAATATACTCATAATATCTATTAATAACCTAATATCACATTGACGAGTCACAAACTATAATGACAACAAAACAAATTATAAACACTTAGACACCAACATTTTCCTTCTCAAACAACCATGTGATGTATGAACCCGACAAAATACTGAGATTTTTCATTTCTTGACTGAGTTGACTTTGGCGATGATTACTGTACGAATTTTAAAACGTCATTCAAAACCAGCACGAACAAAGGACTTACCTTGACCATCATAAACATGCCAGTTATCAACAATAATTCTATAGCTACTTCGTGATCTTTTTTCGTAACCACGGAGTCACATGAGACTAGTGGCAATAACTGTTAATTTTAATTAAGTAGGCCTGGTCCTTCTTTGATATTGTAACAGTCAAGAGAATACATTTTAATCTATACGTTTGTTGCGGAAGGCACAATTCAATGACAGTTTTGACAAAAGCCAAGCTTTGCATTTGCAGAGAGTTAGTGACTTTAAACAGAATATTGTAAAACGAAATGTCAACAAATATTTTAATTTTCAAAATAGTATTATTGTGTAGCATATTGAACAAAATTTTTGTCAACTGTTCTCATTTTATTTTGTTATGCTGGTGCTGCCTAATTGTTTGCTGGCACTAATTGTTATTCTGCTTACAACTCACCTATTATCTAAAATATAGTTTTAACCATAAAATGCTATACCTTATTTTGAACCATTTTCCTTGCCATACAAGCTTCGTCATTAGTATAGTTAAAGGCTTATAACTCTATTTCATTTTCCTACAAACCTACTATTTATCTTATCAATTTAAGTGTTTTGCCTTATAACGACCTCATACTGATGCAAATGTCGTAAAGCTTTCGTAAACAGGACTTTCGGCAATTTAGTTAGGGCTTCTATTATCATTATAGTTTAGTGTGGTTTTACCGATAGGAATAGCTCGTTGGATACATGCTGATTATTTTGATCGGCATAGGAGGTTTTGCTTGAATAATAATATACTCATAATATCTATTAATAACCTAATATCACATTGACGAGTCACAAACTATAATGACAACAAAACAAATTATAAACACTTAGACACCAACATTTTTCCTTCTCAAACAACCATGTGATGTATGAACCCGACAAAATACTGAGATTTTTCTTTTCTTGACTGAGTTGACTTTGGCGATGATTACTGTAAGAATTTTAAAACGTCATTCAAAACCAGCACGAACAAAGGACTTACCTTGACGATCATAAACATGCCAGTTATCAACAATAATTCTATAGCTACTTCGTGATCTTTTTCGTAACCACGGAGTCACATGAGACTAGTGGCAATAACTGTTAATTTTAATTAAGTAGGCCTGGTCCTTCTTTGATATTGTAACAGTCAAGACAATACATTTTAATCTATACGTTTGTTGCGGAAGCACAATTCAATGACAGTTTTGACAAAGCCAAGCTTTGCATTTGCAGAGAGTTAGTGACTTTAAACAGGATATTGTAAAACGAAATGTCAACAAATATTTTAATTTTCAAAATAGTATTATTGTGTAGCATATTGAACAAAATTTTTGTCAACTGTTCTCATTTTATTTTGTTATGCTGGTGCTGCCTAATTGTTTGCTGGCACTAATTGTTATTCTGCTTACAACTCACCGATTATCTAAAATATAGTTTTAACCACAAAATGCTATACCTTATTTTGAACCATTTTCCTTGCCATACAAGCTTCGTCATTAGTATAGTTAAGGCTTATAACTCTATTTCATTTTCCTACAAACCTATTATTTATCTTATCAATTTAAGTGTTTTGCCTTATAACGACCTCATACTGATGCAAATGTCGTAAAGCTTTCGTAAACAGGACTTTCGGCAATTTAGTTAGGGCTTCTATTATCATTATAGTTTAGTGTGGTTTTACCGATAGCAATAGCTCGTTGGATACATGCTGATTATTTTGATCGGCATAGGAGGTTTTGTTTGAATAATAATATACTCATAATATCTATTAATAACCTAATATCACATTGACGAGTCACGAACTATAATGACAACAAAACAAATTATAAACACTTAGACACCAACATTTTTCCTTCTCAAACAACCATGTGATGTATGAACCCGACAAAATACTAAGATTTTTCATTTCTGACTGAGTTGACTTTGGCGATGATTACTGTAACAATTTTAAAACGTCATTCAAAACCAGCACGAACAAAGGACTTACCTTTACGATCATAAACATGCCAGTTCTCAACAATAATTCTATAGCTACTTCGTGATCTTTTTTCGTAACCACGGAGTCACAAGGGACTAGTGGCAATAACTGTTAATTTTAATTAAGTAGGCCTGGTCCTTCTTTGATATTGTAACAGTCAAGACAATACATTTTAATCTATACGTTTGTTGCGGAAGCACAATTCAATGACAGTTTTGACAAAAGCCAAGCTTTGCATTTGCAGAGAGTTAGTGACTTTAAACAGGATCTTGTAAAACGAAATGTCAACAAATATTTTAATTTTCAAAATATATTATTGTGTAGCATATTGAACAAAATTTTTGTCAACTGTTCTCATTTTATTTTGTTATGCTGGTGCTGCCTCATTGTTTGCTGGCACTAATTGTTATTCTGCTTACAACTCACCGAATATCTAAAATATAGTTTTAACCACACAATGCTATACCTTATTTTGAACCATTTTCCTTGCCATACAAGCTTCGTCATTAGTATAGTTTAAGGCTTATAACTATATTTTTTTTCCTACAAACCTATTATTTATCTTATCAATTTAGTGTTTTGCCTTATAACCACCTCATACTGATGCAAATGTCATAAAGCTTTCGTAAACAGGACTTTCGGCAATTTAGTTAGGGCTTCTATTATCATTATAGTTTAGTGTGGTTTTACCGATAGCAATAGCTCGTTGGATACATGCTGCTTATTTTTGATCGGCATAGGAGGTTTTGTTTGAATAATAATATACTCATAATATCTATTAATAACCTAATATCACATTGACGAGTCACGAACTATAATGACAACAAAACAAATTATAAACACTTAGACACCAACATTTTCCTTCTCAAACAACCATGTGATGTATGAACCCGACAAAATACTGAGATTTTTCATTTCTTGACTGAGTTGACTTTGGCGATGATTACTGTACGAATTTTAAAACGTCATTCAAAACCAGCACGAACAAAGGACTTACCTTGACGATCATAAACATGCCAGTTATCAACAATAATTCTATAGCTACTTCGTGATCTTTTTTCGTAACCACGGAGTCACATGAGACTAGTGGCAATAACTGTTAATTTTAATTAAGTAGGCCTGGTCCTTCTTTGATATTGTAACAGTCAAGACAATACATTTTAATCTATACGTTTGTTGTGGCAAGCACAATTCAATGACAGTTTTGACAAAAGCCAAGCTTTGCATTTGCAGAGAGTTAGTGACTTTAAACAGGATCTTGTAATACGAAATGTCAACAAATATTTTAATTTTCAAAACTATCATTGTGTAGCATATTGAACAAAATTTTTGTCAACTGTTCTCATTTTATTTTGTTATGCTGGTGCTGCCTAATTGTTTGCTGGCACAAATTGTTATTCTGCTAACAACTCACAAACTATCTAAAATGTAGTTTTTATGATATAATGATAGATGCTGCGATAAGATTCGGCAAAAAAATACGCGCGACGTTGCTCTTAAGATGACTCACGATCAAGTATAGAACATCCTGAAAAAAATTGGGCGGAAATCGTTTTGTCTGCCGCCTTATTAGATTTTTCTTGCATAAAAGATTTGTGTGTATAATAATGTAAACTTTGTAAAATACGTCACGATGGTTGATTATAAATAGTCTGTGCTAAGCTTGTCCCAATTATATCATACATATTATAGACGAAGCAGACATCTGTTGACATTTAAAAAAAAATGAGTGGCCTAACCGTTGTAACAGCTCCTGCACTCACAAGAGTGTATACTGATGTTGATACTGGTGCAGATATGGATCTCTCCGTTTTTCAGGCAGCTTTGTTTCAAATTCCTTACGGTTTTTTTATAATTGGTCAAGCAGCTGTTGGTCATACTAGTGCCAAAAATCCAGCAACATCTTCTATAATATTGGTAAAGCCATCGAAACCTGAAATGGTGGCCGAACCCGTACATTTTGAGGAAGTATGGAACGATAAAGGTACGGGCGGTAGTGAACATTGCTCGTTTTGGAGAGTTGTTCCTCCAAAAGATTATGTTGCACTTGGTGATCTGGTTACCAAAGGCTACGACCCACCAACGAGTGCACTAAGATCAAAGTATGCCTGCATTAAAAAAGAATTTGTTGTTCAGGGCGTAATGGATCCTTCTCCCATATGGAAAGACAAAGGTTCAGGAGCAGACGGTGATGGCTCATTATGGCAAGTTCATGGTGAAGGTCTTGGAGGCTTTTTCAAAGTTCAAAGTGGTTATTCAATGCCATCTTTTGTTGTTTACGTTCTCCCTGCTACAGTTGAAGAAAAAAGAAAAAGCTAAGCAAATTATTCTTGGAACGTTTTACTTTATTAACTTCTTACAGTAGAACATTTTACTAGTAATTTTGTTTGACTGTTATGCATGTGAAATTTCATTTAAAACCTTTTGTGCAATGTTTTCTGGAAGCCGTTATATATTTCAGGCATGATTATCTTTCTTTTTTAATTAATAAAGTTTGCCAGTTAATCATCTAAAATAATGAAATATTGTGTAGTCAAAACTTCACGAATCTCTTTGTAATCACTTTTTGGTGTGCAGTATAAACTGAGCTCATACAGCTACTCAATAAATGCAGCATATTACAGTTTTTTAGCATTAAAACATGCACCCAGCTATTACACATGTAGGGCACGTAGCATATTTTTGATCTCAACAAGAACAGTCTATTTCTCTTAAACTGCGTCTCTCTCCCATTATTTTTCCTGAAACATTAATATTTTTATACGTATCGTAACAAGTTTTCAATTTTTTCCGTTTTAAGAATACATAGGTAATTGATAATTCTGTCGTTTTGGTCGTAAATAAAGTTTATTTTATGTAACTTTCCTGAAAAAAAATGATTAGAAGGTATCAAAATTGATCTCAAACTTGCAACTTTGTATTGAAATTGAAGAAAACCAATCACACATGCGTATGAATCAAAATTCTTTGAAGAACTCTTGACCAGCTTTTATCTTCAAGGATAATATCGATATTATTTGCAAGAAAGTATCGTCAGGTGTATTGGCTCTTAAACGGCTAAACGAATTTTTTGTTAAGCAAATCTTCCTTTCTGCTTATATTAGGCAATTGTTCGACCATACTTTTATTAATGCAGCTCAGTATGGCATGTTTCTAGAGAATCAGTCAAATTGACTTCAAAAACCTTACAACAGAGCTTCTTGAGTCATCATACAAATATGAGCAATGAAACAGATCATTAGACTTGACACCTCTTACAGTCAACTGTATGTTGTATTCCTTTGAATATTGCAACGTACTTGTCAATTTTGCAATATTCATGCATTGATTGAGTCCAATTGCCTTTACATTTTGAAGATTCAAATCGCAAATTAAAATTTCGCCCACGGTACTGTTGGTGCCCTTCTATCATAGTGGCTTTAACACTTAAACACAGTCAACACAAAATATAAGCTAAAAAATATGTAGCTGCTTCCAAGTAAAGAATAATTTTATTTGGCTTCAATTATCCTTTTAGTTTGTAGTGTAGCTTTACTGGCAGCAATTACTCGTTTGATACGTGCTGGTTAATTTTGATCAGTTTAGAATTTTTTTTTGAGTGATAATACAAATAATACCTATTAATAACAAAATGTCAGATTGACGAGTCACGAACTTTTACTGACAACAATACAAATGTAATTATATAAACTTAAACACCCACACATTTGCTTTACAAGCAACAATGTGTGGTATGAACCCGACACAAATACCGAGATTTTTCTTATCTTGACTGTGTTGACATTGACGTTGATTACGCTAAGGATTTTGAAACGTTATTCAAAACCAACACTTCTAGTAAGGACGCCATTTACGTGAGCCTGACGATCATCAACATGCCAGTTATCAATAATTCCACTTCGTGATTTGATACGTCACTACGGTGTCAAATGATGAGAAGCGTGGACGTGCTTTACTGATGAGTGTTAGCGAGCTTTCCCAAAATAATTAGTTTTTGTAAATAATTTCATACATTGACAATTACATTGAAAAGTATTTTGTGTTTCATAAACAAAACAGAAAAGCATCAGTATGTTTGGTGTAAAAGTCAGTGTTTGTAATTACGGCCTTCTTTGATGAACAAATAAAACAAATATCTCACCTGTGAAAGCGACATGTTACTTTTTTGTCGACACTAAGATATCTACATACAATGTCCAACAATTTAACAAAAGAAGTTTTGGCATTATAAAAGAAATACCAAAAAAGATATCGTGTTTGTTTTTTTAAAAAAATTCTCTTTAATCTACTATAGACCCCCAAAAAAGGTCGAGAATATATTTTTCAGCAAAGCAAAAATTTTAGCGGAAATAAGTCAATCAGCATCCATAATTTTTGCATCATCACCCGAGTCCACCTAGCCCCTCCGGTTATCAAATAACTAAATGGGTTTGTAGTAGTTTTCATTGCAGCCTGTTTTTCATGATCAGGTTGTTAAACTGGTGATTCATTATAGTTGATTTCTTAACACGACACCATTTGGATTTTATTTAAATTCCGGCATTTTTGCGTGTATTGTAGTTAATTAGCTATGCCTTTTTGTAATCTATAGTGGAATTTCAAAAACAGATGTAAGTACAAGTGCGCAAAGCATTACCGTGACGTACACTCATTTAAATAAAAACATCTTTCATTGCTTTGTTATTATTGATAGACGTCACAAGATTTTTGTTACAATGTGAGTTTGCGTTATAAACTAATTTTCTGGCTTACAGAAAGTTAAGCTTTAATGAACTATTTTATTCTATTGACGAAGAAGATGTTTACTCTATTCTCCGTCGGCAATTGCAGCCATTCAAGCCTCCGTCGTCTTTGCTCGTTTGGGATAGGAAACAAAAAACTAAAAGTTTGTACACATTTAAACTGATATTGTAACCCTATTAATTTGAGCTTTATAATGCATAATATCAACAGAAACGTATGTACATCTGTGCACTTTTTTCTTCAGTAAAGCAACTTAGTTTACCTTAACAATACTTTACGCTATAATTTTTACAAGATATGCTCTGTTCGACTTTGCTTAAGCCACACCTTGAATCCTCGTGTAGAGGCAATGTACAAATTATATGTGCTAACATATAGTTATACATGTTGTGTAGCAGCCATGATTATGACAATGAATGAAACTGCTTTGGTTTGATTTTGATAAGACTTGGCAAACAGAAGTAGTATTTACGGACAAGATTTAAAACTGGCCAAAATTTGTGAATTTTTTTCCGTTCAGATCATGGATAGATTTTCCCATACTCCTTCATATATACTGAAAGCAGGAAATAGCTTTTCTGCGAGTTAAATTTTATAAAATTTTATAGGCTCTGACGAAAGTTTCTGGTGATATAGAATCATCGCAGAGATACACTAAAAACCTAATTCTAATCGAAGATGCCTTTCGTAAAATGTGTCGTGAAAATGTTAAAAGCTTATGTAGAAAATATTGTATGTGTAAGAAAGATCAGAGTAATAATTATAAATGCATAATAGAAAAGAAACATGTCAATCAAATGTCAGTTAAATATACATATCGAAGCGAAGACATCTTGTTTTTATTCCGTCCAAAGATTTGTGAGTATATATTCCGAACGATCATTAAATGGCACCCAACGTAGGGCCGGCTTCATTCGAAAACCAAATAAATGTAGAAGGATAATATTGAACGACTTCGCGCCAAACGAGGCGGTTATCGTGGCGTGTGTACAAGGCTTGTAAAAGAAGCACTCGAGCTTCTGGATGCCACTGAAGTAGACTTCGAACGATGTAATGTCATCGCGGAACAACTCGAGAGTAAGATGAAAATCTTAGAGAAAATAAACGACGAAATCATTGGGATATGCGATGTAACGGATATTGAACACGAAATTGAAGAAGCAGCCGCCGTCTCGGATAGAATTCTAAGCACTAGACGTAAAATCGAAGCAGTAAGAAAACCGTAGATTTGTCAAGAAACTATAAAAAGAAGGCAAAGTCCTACACTACAAGTCGAACAGATTCGTTTAGTAGAAACAGTAAGCACGAGTAACACAACGATAAGCAACGATGAGAATAACACGAACGCGAATGCGCTTAATACGAACACGAATGCGGTTAAAACGAACACGATTGCGGTTGATACGAACACGAATGCGGTTAATAAGAACACGAATACGGTCTATACGAACACGAATGCTATTGATACGATTACGAATGAAGTGATTAATACAAATTCTACGATTTTGAATGTCCCTATCAGAACAACACCAGCGATCATGATGCCAACGCTTCCCAAACTTCAATTGCCAAAATTCAGTGGAAAGATCACAGAATGGAACGACTTTTGGGACTTATACAATTTTACGATTCACAGCAACAAGAGTATGTCTAAGGTAAACAAATTCAATTACCTATTCTCATTGCTTGAGGGTAGTGCAGCACGTTCGATAAAAGGACTTACCTTAACATCCGCAAATTATGACGCAGCAATTGCGATTCTGCAAAATAGATTTGGTCGAACCCAACAGGTCATTGCCGCACATATGGATCAAATCCTACAAATATCTGCATGTTCTGAAAACCGTACTGGGCAATTGAGATATGTTTTCGATCAAAATAAGTGTTCAAGTGCGAGGACTTGACTCGTTTGGGGTATCTGCAAACCAGTACGGCAGTCTGCTAATACCAATTATTATGTCCAAACTACCGAGTGAAATAAGATTGCAGGTAGCACGAAAAGCTACTGGTGATGTTTGGAAAATTGACGAGTTGCTCAAAACCATAAAGTTTGAAGTTGAGGCACGTGAAATGAGCGAATCATCGCGCTCAATTAAAAAACCCCAAAACAAAGATAAGCTCAACAAACCATCGACAGCTGGAACATTTGCAGTGACAAAAAATAAAGACGGTGCCTGTAGCTTCAAGGTTAAATGCGTATACTGTCAAGGATCACATTATTCAGCATCTTGTGAAGAGGTAAAGGGAAGGGAAGCCCGAGTTAAAATTGTAAGGGACTCCAACCGTTGCTTTATTTGTCTGAAAAGGGACACCAAGCAAGCAAGTGTATCGTCACAAGAAAATGTCGACATTGTTCCGGAGGCATCACAAATCTATTTGCAGCAATCCTGCTACCAAGAGTCAGGGTGTCCAAAATGAGAAAGCAATTCATGACACCAATCCACAGAAAGTATCAGAAGGTGTAAAATCTCCAACCACAACAGCTGTCACACGAACTGTCAAGGGAAGTGTTCTTTTGCAGACGGCCAGAGCTATCTGTTCCAGCACGAATTCTCTTTAACACTGGAAGCCAAAGGTCTTACATTCGAAGGTTACTTCAAGGCCGGTTAAGGTTAAATTCAATTGGTAAGGAGACACTTCAATTAAATACCTTTGGCCAAAGCAAGAGTAAACGAGAAAGCTGCGAATTGTTCAAGGTGAGCATTGCAAGCAAGAGTGGAGGTGAGGTAGTAGAGATTAAAGCAATCGCATTTCCAACAATATGTGCACCACTTCCTACAAGGATAAATATAGACGAATATCCACATCTCCATAGTGTAGAACTTGCAGACTTTGATTCTTCCGATAACAATGGTAGCTGTGATTCAATCGACATTATGATAGGAGCTGATCATTATTGGGACGTAGTCACAGGTGATGTCGTACGAGGAGAAAATGGTCCAACAGCGATGAGCAGCAAATTGGGATGGCTTTTGTCTGGATGGCCATCACAAAAATCAGACGGACGTACTCTGAACAGCCTCATTTTAGCAGCTGACTGCCTTGATAATTCTACTGTCGTAACCGATAGGGATGAGTTAACAATATCATTGAAGCGTTTTTGTGAAACTGAGAGCGTTGGCATTGACTCCTTTGACTCAGAGAACTCACCCGAGGAACAAGATTTTGTGCAAAATATTAAATTCACTGGAACATGCTACGAAGTTGGTCTGCCGTGGAAAAATGATCATGTGCAAATTGATGACGATTACGAACTCTGTCATAATAGATTGAGATCTTTGCATCGAAAACTGCTAAAGATTCCACAAAATCTTGAAGAATACAATAATGGTATTACTGAACAATTGGCAGCAGGAATAGTCGAAAGGGTCCCGGCATCTGATAAGGATCGTGGTAAAATTCACTATCTTCCCCATCATTGTGTCATACGAAAGGATAAGGTTACTACGAAGCTACGCGTTGTGTACGACGGATCTGCTACAACGAACTTGCGTAACTTTTCACTAAAAGATTGCTTACTGACCGGGCCGAACCTCATTCCACAAATCTTTGATTTTCTCGTCAAATTTCGACAAAACAAGATTGGGCTACTTGCTGACATTGAGAAAGCATTCTTAATGATTGGAATTGACAAGGAAATAGAGACATGCTTCGTTTTTTGTGGCTAAGGGATACTAGGGATCCGCATTCAGAAGTATTAAAGCTAAGGTTTTGTCGATTGGTTTTTGGTCTACGACCTTCGCCAGCAATTCTAGGAGCTACTATCAACCATCATTTGAAGACACACGAGAAGCAGGAGCCAGAACCGGTTGAACACTTGAAAAATTCTCTGTATGTCGATGATTTTGTGTCCACTGCCGAAACCGATGAAACTGCTTTGCAAATATACAAGGGAACAAAGCAGTTGATGGCCAAGGGTGGATTCAACTTGCGAAAATGGAACTCGAATTCCAGTAACGTAGTAACGTTCATGGATTCAGTGGTGCATCTGAAAGTGCAATTGGTGCTGTTGTCTATGTAAGAACAGTCTATGAGAATGGAACCATCGACGTGAAATTAATCGCTTCAAAGACAAAGGTCGCACCAGTGAAAAAGCAAATGATTCCACGATTAGAGCTGGTGGCAGCGACTGTACTAGAGAAGTTAGTAGAGTCTTTGTTATAGGTACTCAGGTAGAGTCTGGAAGTTTTTTATTGGGTTGACTCGATGACAGCATTTCACTGGATACGAAACGATCGAGCATGGAAACCATTCGTGCAGCATCGAGTGAACAAGATTTGAAGTATTTCGTTGACGGAATCTTCGGAACTTTGTCCTGGATCACTTAATACTGCAGATTTACCCCCACGAGGTATTTCTGGGCGGAGTCTTCTTCATGGTTCAATGGACCCAAATTCTTGGCAAGGGACGAAGAAGAATGCACAAAACGTCCAGTTGGCAACCTCTCACAAAGTGAAGAAGTTCTGAGGGAAATTGTGAAAGAACATCCGAATGTCGTAAGATCACTAGTTTCGAATGAAATCGAACAACGAGCCATGCCAGATCTTAACAAAGCAATCGACATTGCTCGTTATAGCTTCACGAACAAACTTCTTCGAATAACTGCTTATGTAATGAGATTCATCAACATATTAAAGAAGATGCCACGGTGCGAGCGAACAACAAACAAACTCATAACCTCCAAAGAACCAAGCTCAGACGAAATAAGGAAGGTGAAGCTGCTATGGATAAGGTCTATTCAACAACTATCCTTGGAAAAGGAAATATTATTCCTTCGGTCAAAGAATGCGAATTCTTCAATACCTATTTACGTTAAGCAATTTGGGCCATTTCTCGACGATGATCACGTGCTGCGGTGCCGTAGGAGACTGAAGAATTCATCACTGAATCTGGAGAGCAAAAATCCTGTATTGCTTCCAAAGTAATCAAAATTTGTGGAGATATTAATATGCGAGGCTCACCACAATGTGAAGCACAGCGGGGTTCGTGATACACTAACAACCATTAGAGAGCATTTTTGGATAATCCGTGGTCGAGAAGCAGTAAAGAAAATCGTCAGAAAATGTCGTATGTCGCAAAGCCGAAGGTCTTCCTTATGAGGGAACGCCTCCTCCAGATCTTCCTGTTAGTAGAGTGTCGGATGATCCCCTTTCACAAACGTAGGTTTGGACTTTGCAGGACCGTTGTTCGTACGAGAGAGTTGCGAAAGGAATAATTTGTCGGATAATCCATTAAAGGTGCATATTGTATTGTTTACGTGTGCGTCTACTAGAGCCATTCATGTGGAGCTCATTCCCTTCTTAAGCGTTCCAGCCTTTCTCCGCGCGTTCCGCAGATACGCTAGTCGACGAGCACTGCCAGCTCTTCTTATATCCGATAATGCTAAGATTTTTCGAGCTGCATGCTTAGAAATTCGCAAGTTATGTCGTTCTGAGGAAGTGTTGCGCTATCTTGCAAACCATCAGATTACATGGCAATTTATCGTCGAAAAGGCCCCTTGGTGGGGAGGCTTCTGGGAACGTTTGATTCGAAGCGTGAAACGTCCGTTGCAAAAGAAAGTTGGTAGAACCAATCTAACCTACGACGAGTTGCATACTATTGTGGTTGAAATCGAGGGCGTAATAAAGGCACGACCCCTAACCTACGTGTACGACGATGAAGAAGCTGTATCTCTTCCGCTAAGCCCGTCGCACTTGGTGTATGGAAGACGAACAATGACCATGCCAAACAGTGAGCACTTTGAAATTCAGAGCACCTATCAATCTTTGACGAGAAAGGCAAAACATCACAAAAATTTGCTGCAGCGTTTTATTCTTCAATGGAGAAACGAGTATCTTTTAGCCTCACGAGAGCAATACACTTCAAAATCAAGAGGTAATCAAAATCCCGAAATAGCAGTGGGAGATATCGTCATTATTCGCAACGATCAAACAAAACGTATCTTTTGAAGGTGGCGAAAGTTGAACAATTGTTACAAGATGACGATGGAATTACACGAGCTGCACAAGTCAGAGTCCTTCGTGGAGACTCTAGTCATTCACACTTGTTACGACGTTCTATCAGGCAACTTATCCCAATTGAGGTTCATCAGGAAAAAGACAGTAACGAAAGAGTAGAGAGCGATAAGAACGGCGAAGAAGAACAAGTGCTTCGTCCAACTAATCGACCACAACGCAGCACGGGAATAACAGGACGATGGCGAAGATTGTAGAATACAAACAAGCTCTAAACAACTGTACATTCTTAGCAAAAAATAGTTTTGTTTTTTTTGTTTTGTTTGTTGACAACATTTTTATTATGTCAACCCTAGGGAGTGTAAGAAAGATCAGAGTAATAATTATAAATATATGATAGAAAAGAAACATGTCAATCAAATGTCAGTTAAATATACATATCGAAGGCGAAGACATCTTGTTTGTATTCCGTCCAAAGATTTGTGAGTATATATTCCGACGCTCATTAAAGTGTGTTTGACATTTTTATCCATTGTTGAAATGTATCTGTAAAACAAAAACTACATGTAAACAAGTCGTAATCAACCGTATTCACATAATCTATGAAAAAAGTAAAATGATGAAGTTTTATTTCTGCTAAGAATATATTACATTATCTTTGACAATTGACAAATCAAGCCGTAAGATTTTCTTTTCAAGTTGCATGAATTTATTGCATGGATTCCGCAAGACGCTGTTGATTGCTACCTACCATGCCGCTTGTACTGCTAACACCAGTAAGCATGCAGTTGATTAATGTTATAGATTAAATAACGTAGCAAATCCTTATTCAGAGACGGATCAACATAGTTAGTTTTGTTGATTACAATGAGTTATCAATTTTTACAAAGAGATATCAATTTTTACAAAGATTTATCATCTTTCCAAAAAAGAAGGCGTGAGTTCCTAGAAATTGTTTCAGAAAAGTGAGGGACACGAGCATTAAAGGTTCCGACACGAGTGGACCTTCTGTCGAGATATCTATACTGTGGTCGGCATATTTAGTTGACAGGGATGTTTATTTTGAGTAAGTAATGGTTATTTAAATTATAGCCTAAAACAACAACTGCCACAAAATAAATCCACTAGCAAAGTGTGAAAGCATGGATATTTACCATAGGTTTTAATAAAGGTATGTAAGAATCATAACATATTGTTTATTGCAATAACATTGCACAACAATCGTCGCAGTTCAAGATTCAATATATTGACGTATGTGTAGTTAAGGTGATTATTATTTTTAAGTAGAAACTGATGTTTTGAGACAGAAAATATACAGAAAATACTGTTATAGTGCCAGCTATTTGTTATTTTGTAACGACAATTGAAAGTGTACACATACTTTATGTACATATCGTGCTTAATGAGTGAAGTATAGACAGCTTAAGTGTTAAGTGTTAATTGCCGTATTTATGGACGTGCTAAAGTGGATAACAACTGATAAAATCTACTTTTGTCTCTTATCTAGAGAGGATTATCTTTATAGTTTAAGTATCAGCAATTAAAACCATACATTTTCAAATCAGATTACACAATGTAGTTTTTGTTGGAGCTAACTAGCAGGCTAAACAATTTACTTTTGATGCATGGAATGCAGCCAGCTAGTTGACAACAGCCGAGTTTCACATAGCATGAAAGTAGAATCAGCCTTTGTCAATAGATAAGATGCCAACAGATTATAAACTACAAAACTTTGAACAAATGTCATTTTCACGAAGAATTTGGTCGAATAAAAAGATCCTTGCGTCTAAAGAAGCCATTTGCGAAATAAATTAAAGTGCTCATACATTTATACATATTTGAAAGCTACAATGATCAACTAGCTACATTAGAAAACTACAATAGTGTACTTTGCTGAATTGTAACACAGTATTTGTGAGTGAAATCCAATTGTGACTTCATTCATAATATCATGCATGTTTATAAATTGGTGAATAACATGGTATAAGAAATTATTCAAATCTAAAAATTTACATTGTCTGCATGTGAGCATTAATTTGCAGGTAGCACAATGTTATCCAGGGGCAGCGCAAGGGAGATTAAAGGCAACCATTGTGTTTTTCCTGCCATGTTAAAAATAGTTTGTAATGTTAAAAATGTTATTTTAACATTAGCTAAAGAGAAAATTCGCCAAGAAACACAAAAAAGCGAAATGTATTTCAGCAATACAAATTGAAAACATAAACAAGACATCTGTTTATCATGTGCCTGCATATGAATGAACGAGCAATGAGAATGAATTCGTGTGCTTAAACAAACATTTGCATAATTCAGAAAGATGAATTGGATTAAAGTTAGACACGCAAAACTTGCAAATTTATATCCAAAATGATAATATAAAATATCTAAAATTAAACAAGATACATGATGTAACTCAGATTTTTCGGGTAGTTCTCTTTTTATTCTTATTGGGCAAAGATGATATGTAACACAGAGCACAATCCATTTTACAATGCTTTTTTCAGGTATGAATTAATGCATTGTAATCATGTATGAGCCCTGAATGAGTCCTCTAGCTGTTTCACTCATCATATTTAGTTTGTGATAATCTTCAATTTCTCACTGATGTTTCCTATTTTATCAAGAATATATTTTGTTGTTTTTTTTTTGTTTTCTTTCCAATGTAGGGATGACAATGATAATGCAAGAAAGTAGAAAAGCACATTTGTTCTTCCAGCAAGATATGCTCTTTCTCAGAATACATTCATGAAAAAGACGTTGAGGTAGAAATTCATTCAAACTTCTTATCACCGCACGTGCCATTTTCCTATAGGCAAGTTTGATGCAAATACGTTTTAGAGACGCTTAGCTAATACTATGAAGAGCTGCCCTCTAATTTTTAAGTGCTCTATCACATGATCAAGGAAGAGTTGTGAGCAGATCAACTGTGTCTATCCACCCTTTCTTGGTAGATGCTTTTGGTAGTTATGTAAGTTTCTTTATGTCATAAACTATTTTATTTTCACTTATTATTCTCCATCAATGCAGCCAAGTCATACAGACTAAACTTTCATCTGGGCAATCTTGCCTCAATTGCTAAGAAACCTGAAATACACTAAAAAGTTTGAAATATGTATCATAAAGGTAAAATAGATGACGAGAAACATTAGCAAAGTTTACTTTGCTATAATCATGCCAGCTTATCCACATGTTGTAGCTACATTTGCATGGTGTTTTATTTAATTTGCTTACCCTTGCTAAGTTATATACCATAGATCAAAACTTCTTTAAACCAATACTATATAAAAATTTTTTGAAGCAACTTGACTATATCCACCATTGCAAGCGCTATCTCCAAGTTCTTACGAGGCAAAAAATACTAGAGGAAATTATCGATCCAAAACGTCTGTGCGTTCTCTCCTCAAACGAATTGTAAATTCATAGCTTCCAACTGATGAGAATGATCATTCATCAAATGAACACATGACATGGATGAAAGAAAAAAAAGAAGAAGAAGAGTTATGCTTTGATGTCAAAGAAAATGGAACTAGCCAGGTGCATTTTATTTTAAGTTTGCATTTGGCTGTTTAACTACGCAGGTTGTCCCAAAAACAGAATCAACATAAATTAATGTATTTACTAAATTATTGTACACAATAATGTAGTTAGCATTCACAGCAACTTCACATTTCTGCAGGATTTCATAAGGTTTGTTCAGTATTAATTAAAGCAAAACAAGTTAAAATTATTATCATACACTGATTTTAATCTCAAATTTACTACTCAAAAGCATTGTAAAACCATAGCGACATAACTGAGTAAAACAGTCTTAAAACTAATTCATGGTTTCCATAAGTTCCAAGAAGGAGAAACAAGCGTGTACCTAAATCAACCAAGGAGCAAATAGCTATTATTTATGCCTCTTTCCCTTCCAAAATTCCTTTCAGCTTAAGGAGTTTTTATTCGCAGACGAGAACTCCAGGCAACACCATTAATGCCCATATTGTTTTATTTGCATTGCTGCATTCATAATGCAGACTAAATTGTGTTATGCCCACTTCTTTTGAATGCATACACAACTATTTGTGCTAATTCCTTTTCGTAGGTCACCCTGCAAGAAGTTTTTAAATTGTTGCGATGTCTATAGCATATGTATAACGAATTTCTCTTTTTTTATTAAATTGTAGTGGAAGAGAGAACACAATGGCCAATATGCTGAGAATTAGCAGCTGAAAGCAGATGAAAGAGGAACTTATCTCCAACAACAAAACAGACAACAGTTGCTAGAAATGGAATCATGGCTTCAAAGTCTTTCAAACTGACGAGAGACGCTGAAAACGTTGATGATGCTGAGGAAGAAATTTTTCCAACTGATGGTAGGTAAATATTGTTTTGTGACTGGCAGCTATTGCAAGATTTTATCTCAAAACAGTTTTTATTTTATACGTAGCAGATTAAAAGTTTAGCAAAAAAGGCTAATAACAACATAAATTTATTGTTTCTTTTTGAATTATTATATTTCTACTTTTACAGAAGATTTGTTGCCATATGCTTGAGGCCACACCTTGTTGAAAGATCTAATAAAAGACTTAACTCTGCTGTATCAGGTGCAGAAGAAATTTTTCTACATTTGTGAACATGTGAAGACATTATGTCAAGTTAAAGGCAACGTCTACGACACTAGTGAGAGTGTATTACATTGGACTAAGAATCTATAACTAAGAAATTATTTTAAACATATAGAAACAAATGTAATGCAAGAAAAGTTATCCCTGAAAGGAATAAACCCAAAGCACCATTTCCTATTTTTGGCAAATCGATGTAGGAACTAAGCAAAACAATTTTCATTGCAGATGAATTCAACATTTTTCTGAAAGTTTCAGAAATTATCAAGCATTACAAGCTCAAGCCTTTTTTATGGTTGTAACATAGGAATTCCTAAAGACATTTTATTAAAATTTTATGAAAGTCTCATAAAAAAGTTTTGTCCTTGATAAATGAACTTGATCACTTGAACTGAAATTAAACAATTTAAACAAGATATTTGCTGTTTTCAACTGCATTTTATAGCATGCAGTTTGGCTTTCCCCCTAACAACCACTTTAGAGTTCCAGTTTCTGTGTCTCGTTAACTATACAACGTGTAAGAGTGACTTTACACCTGCTTCGGGCAAGTTTTACAATGTCATAGTGTGACAGTGCTATCTTTTGTTTTACATTGAGTCACACATCAGAGAAATATTGAAACAGGTGCTGGTCAATTAATCTCGCCTAATCGTGTTAACTTATAGTTTAATGTTGGATTCAGAAAGGGAAAAATTTGCCCTAACTTTACTGTTGTTCGATCCTTACGAAATTTAGTTCTGGAACAAACAACCAAAATGGAAAAGGAATGTAAAATACTTGCTTAGCACAATATCAGGGCTCATCATGCTGCAGGATGCATAGGGAACACAAATATATGTAGAATCTAAACACATCTAGAATAACTATGAACCTAACACAGACAGCTTTACAAAAAATTTGCAACAGCAGGTTTTGAAGGAGCCAGTAACTACATTACACTTGAAAGGAATTGAATTAAAAGTGGGTGAATTTTAGGACATTCCATGATTACAGAAACAACAAGAAACAACAATCACGCACTGAAAAAATTTCAGCTCAGCATTAAAATATTCATCTCAAAGTAAATATGCAAGAGTTTCATTGGGTTATTCATACGAAAACCAGGTCTATATTTCATAGTTACACATTATCATTTTAAAGTGATACAAACTTTCCCTTGATTGTCCACTATCGAACAAGGAGCACCCTTTTGCCGCTTAGAAAAGTTTAAGGATTCACTAAGTCGAGAAATGTGAAACTTTCAACATCCTGAAACCATATGACCCAGTGTCAATTACTTCAAAGTGAGGCTGCATAGAACAATTTTTTCTCACATCTTTCAATGCAACAGCCTCCTGCAAAACAGCAACTCTCACAAGAGACTATAATAGGAAATTCAAAAAATCTCCAAGTTGTTTGCACAATGTGAAACTCACTTTATCTATGCCTGTTAAGAGATAGAAAAAAATTTCGTAGAAAAAAAGCCTATCCAACCCAACCCAAAATCGAAAAGTCTCTGGAAGATAATTCTTCAACCAAATCAACCGGAGCTGCCTGACCTTAATTCTAGCCCTAACCAAAAAATTAAGATATTTTGGAATTGGTTTATGATTTAACATGACTTTGACTCGTAGATTTCATTTTAGATTATTTATAGTGTTAAAACATTTTGGACAATGTACAAAGTGGTTTTGAAAATTGCTATTTTGTCACGTTCTATCGAATTAACTTTTCTGGCCTCAGTTATTACTTGAAAATAACTGAACTAGAAAAAAGGGGAAAAGAAGATCTTAACATGTAGCTATAGATTGTGCCTTGTGAAAATTTCGTCCTCTTCCAATACCTTATTCATAACGAAGAAAGAGATATATCTAGGCGAAGAAGTGGACAAGAATGTTCTTAACAAGAATCAACCAGCTAGCCTTTAGCTGAAAGCCTAGGCTTTTGTGAAATCGTTTGTTTTTGCTCGTGAATTGCATATGATAAGAGATGGGATTTGTAACGAAAGAAAGGGGAACTGAAAATGTGGATGTAAAGAATCATTGGCTTTTTGAAGAATTTCATACTATAGTATATAGTTTGGGCACATTGCGTTTTGTCTGTTTAAGAAACAAGTTATGGCACTTTCTAAGACCACCATGTAGCATCAAAAGACAATTTGTAACCACAGGAAGAAACTGCATTTGAGGCTGAGGCTCAAGCTGCTACGCCCTTAAATGTGAGTACCATGTGTAACAAAGAATGACATCATAACGCACTTGATGTCAAATTAGTTAAATGGTTGTGACGATCTTATGAAAAAATCCTATAAGACCCTAGGCAGGATATTACCAATGCTTATTCCATCCTAGTAAGAATCCGATGATCCTACAGGACCTTACAAAAGATTATTTGCTCTTCTCTTACCATAATATTCTATGGAATATTACATTAAAGAATTCTATAACATATTTTATGCAATATTCGATTGATGCTAATAGATCATGCAAGATCCTGTCACACTTGAAAGATCCTGTAAAATCCTCTACAGTTTTTCTAGAAAGCAGGAATCAAAAAGCAGGCTACAAATTGAGAAAAACAGGTCATATTTGAGAGATGGAAGATGAAAAATTAACCTTTCAAGTGACACATGCTTCCTTTATAACAACTATAGTTTTAATTATTTATTAGAAAATCAGATATATGATGAGCAATTTGGATCATTTATACAAAACCAATTTGTCAAAATAAATTGATATTTAAAGTTAATATACAATTGTATATTGTCAGGTAATGTAGAATTTAAGGTCAAGAGTGCCTCTACAACATATAGGTATCATTGCTTTCTCAGTAAATATGCCACTCTTATATGTTTAACATTGTAATAAAATCCACAAGGCAGCATGCTATAAGACTTTGACAATTTAAGAAAAAAAGAGCAGGAAATACCTATGCTCCTAAAAAATATTCAAAATGTCATGGCATATTTTTTTTTATTTTGAGCTCTTAGGTGAGTGATGCATAATTCTTACTCCTTGTATTTGTGAATGCACTCTGCCTTTGTGTTGACCACTTGAACTTTTCCATTTACACATCACCAAATACAAAATAAAAAATACAGCTTACCCATTGCCATAATAATGAAAAAAACTCTTGTAACTAATTAAGAAGGTACATACCTTGTTTGGTCAAATATCATACCTTCACAATTTCTTTTTAAAGAGAAATAATTAAAAATTCTTTACAATGGCAATTTTTCATCCACTATTCTTCTATAAGGATTAAAAGATCAAGAAAAATACATAAGCATACTAAATACACTACAAAAAACATATCAAAAAATATGAATAAAGATACAAAATTTTCACTTAAATCTGTCAAAGACACTTGATTGGCCAATATATTAGTATTGTCACACACAAAATTAAACAATACAATTTTTTAAGAATATTAACACCAGAGCTTTTTTAATGAGCTAAATTACTTTTGGATATACCTATTTCCTCCCAGAAATGGAAACAGGAATTTTCATGTTTGTTAAAAAATTATTGCATAAAAATCACACATTGCATTATTTTTGATGTCATATTTGTAACAACAAAATGTTTTCATTAAAACGTGCAGGTGTATCAAAACTAAGTTTTCACTGTTAAGAAATGATGCAAATGGCAAAGGACAAACAGCTCTGTTCTGGGTAGGGATTATCAGCATGCTTAATTATCAAACAAAATAAAAATATGGTAAAACATTTATCCAACATTCTACATGCACAGGCCATAAAATGATAATTCATGTTGGTTGTGAATAACCATGATACATTTTTTTTTCAATAAAAATGCTCTGACTTCTTGAAAAATTGATTGAAAGTAACAAGGATTAAATTGAACAAGGATTACCAAGAAGAAGCTGT